TTTATACATGCAGCAGGGCTACAGCAACTTCAGAAATTTTCACCAAACAAGGCAGCAATATATCAGATACCTCACTATTTTATATGGCCAAAATATTAGCACCAATAATTACTGATTTACTTCAAGCATCAATACAATCATAGATTGTTGCCCAATCTAAAGAGGAAAGTTACAGTACAATATACCATAATAGACTGAAATTGGACTAAATTCATTGGCCAGTGTTGTAAGGGACCATCCGGGACAGTTCAAGATATTAGTTGACTCATAACATAATGGCTTCAGAGCCAAAAGATCCGCCAAAATCTCAGCCTAAAGAGTTGAAGTCTATCCATATGGTCATTTCAGATTTTACAAACGCTTTTCACAAAGCTTAACAGATTTTTCTCTTTGAAGATCATTGTTCGGTACTTTCCTATCATCGTAAGAAAGACATGAACTATTTGCAGGTCGACCTAAAATCGTTAGAGCAATTACGAAACACTTAGAGGATGAGCTTTTATCGTCAGAATGTCAAGGAAATCCACAAAATCAATCCACCAACCACACAAACACTAGTCCAACTATATCATAGTAAACTCAACTAGGGGTATGACCAAATAACATCTCCTTCGCCCGAATCAAAGTGAACTTTTGGATTACTCCGAAGAAATCCATAGTTTTACTATAATAACAAAATAATCTTAACGGCCTTTTTGAGTTCAGTGCGTCCAATTTCATAATGTTGACCATTTAGAATTTACCAACGAATATGTGTAACTAAATCAGGATCCCCAGTTGTATATCATATAAAACAACAGATAAATGGACAAGTGTACCATAGTACCGGTATTTAACCATATCACCAGAGTATTTAATCTACAATACTGACACCTCAAAAATAGCCAAAGGTGACGCTTATGAGAGCACACCATCATTTTAATTCATTTTGTTGATTATCACATTGAAACGTATTCAAACTTTAGTAGTGCCTAAGTGGTGAAAGTAGGGAAGAAAATTAACAGGGTTTTTCTGTGCCGTTTTAACTATAATATCGATTTCTAAAAATATTCAAATCATGAAGCATGATAACCTATAGGCAGCATTCAAATTCTCATTTCCGTATGGTCCACATTTGGCCCGCGGGCATTCGTTTGATGAAAAAAAAAAGCTGCTACATCATATCATAATTTATCTTCTGTGACATTCTCTCTTTTCAGCTTTGGATAGAATTTAACTTTAAACGACGAAAGCGTACGGTAAAGGTCGTAATGTGTAATCCGTTTTTCATGGTTAGCCTACTTTTACTTATGGAAGGAAGGTGGTCTTCAAATTCTAACTTTTAATAATTTTAAGAAATATATATATATATATATATGTGTGTGTGTGTGTGTGTGTATGTGTGTGGGGGGGGGGTGATGGATGTGAGTCTATAACGCACGTTTCACGCTATCACGATCCTCAGATAGACTGATTGTTAGCATACTACCAAGATAATACTCTTTTACATACAAAGGTGTTTTGCATATTAGCCGCGATCAGGTGGAAATTTTGTATGCCTACATTTAGATACCAGTTCTGACCTTTTATTAAGTAGGATTGTCTTATTAGCATTAAGGATAGATAACTTTTCTTCCATGCAAAATTTGCGATTACCAAACGCTGCGCTTTTTACGGATGAGCGCTTTACTATGTTCCACTTTATTTTAAATTTGGTATTCTCATTTTTTAGTTTTCACACATATTTAGACAATTGAGATTCCATTTCATATGATTTATTATTGAATGATTTCTTGTGGTTATTATACCTTGTCTTTAATTCTCCCCCCCCCCCCCAGTCATACAGA